CTTTCCAAATTCTCTGCAGTCTTATAGTAAATTGTTGATAGGCAATTTTACTAGATTCCATAGCTTCAAAAATTTCATTATATGTAGCTGCATGTTATGTGTCTAGTGGGAAACTGGGGGAAATTATTGAATATTAAATCATTAGTTTCCACTACTTTGTTCTTTATGCCTTTTGTGAAGATCTGTAGTCTGCAGAACTTGGCGTTTTTTTACAACTGTTGGGAGAGAACATATTCTAGCATTTATTAAAATAATAGTTATATAATCTCAAAGTTTTCTTATTTATTTTAAATAGCACAGGAATATACCTTATTTTTTTGTGCTTTGCTTTACTGTGCTTTGCAGCTACTGTGTGTTTTACAAATTGAAGGTCTGGAGTAACCCTGGGTCGAGCAAGCCTACCAGCGCCATTTTCCCAACAGCATTGATCACCTCCTGTCTCTGTATCACGTTCTGGTAATCCTTGCAATATTTCCAACTTTTATTATTATTATTATATCTGCTATGGTGATGTGTGATCAGTGATCTTTGATGTTTATACTAAGACTTGCTGAAGGCTCAGAGGATGGTTAGCGTTTTTTAGCAATAAAGTCTTTATAATTAGGGGATGTGCATTTTTTTAGACGTAATGCTATTGCACACTTAATAGACTACAGTATAGTGTAAAAACATAATTTTCATATGCACTGGGAGACCAAAAAAAGGCACGTGACTAGCTTTATTGCCATATTCCCTTTACTGCTGTGGTCTGGAACCGAACCTGCGAATCTCTGAGGTGTACATGTATATTACGGATTATTCTAAACATATTCAACAGTGAAGAGAATAATGTACTAAACCTCATCTTTCATCAACCAGCTTCAACAATTATCAACAATTACCACCTCATGGCCAATTCTGCTTCACCCATTTCCATATTACCCTCAAAATTAAATTCATTTGAAGCAATTCTCAGACACTGTGTCATTTAATTGGCAAATATTTTGGTATAATTCTCGAAGCTACAAGGACTTTAAAAAATATATCCATAGTACCCTTATGTCACGTAATTTTTATCAAGGATAATTTTTAATTTTGTCCAATATCCAGATTTCACATGACACTAATTAACTCATAATTTTTTATACTTAAGCAAATCAGGATCCACATAACGTCCGTACATTTATTTCACTGACTCATAAGTCTCCTAGATCTCTTTCAACCTACCAGGCACCTTGTTCTTTTACATTGTTATCCTTGCATTTTATACGTTGAAGAGATCAGGTCATTTTTCCTGTACTGTTTCTCACAGTCTGGAGTTTTCAGAGTGAATTCTTGTGGTTTAGTTTATCATGTTTCTCTGTCCTCAGTTTCTGTTAATTAGTACTTACATCAATACCTTTCGTTATATTCAGGTTTTCTACTTTCCTTCCTCCTTCTTTCCTCCCTCCCTCCCTCCCTCCCTTCCTTCCTTCTTTTCTTTCTTTCTTGGCAGGAACACTTGATATGCATCTGGTATACTGTCACCCTTCTTGTAATGTTAGCTGTGATTGGTACTCGTTGCATAGATTCATTACTTCTTAGGAGCTGTAGAACTAACTTGCTCTAATTCTGTCACTCATTCTTCATTTATTTGTAGTGAGACCGCATCAGGTTATATTCATAAATTAACTTAGGGAGAATCAGGATCTTTGTACTATCAAGCCTTTCTAGGAATGCAGCATATCTTTCCACGTTTAACTGTAATTACGCAAACTTCGGGAGTATTTTAGTCCTTATTTAGGCTATTTACTAATTTTTGACTATGTGAATGTTTTCTTCTTTTCCTCTATGTCTTCTGATAAACTAGTTTCAGAACATATAAAAGTCTTTTGCATGCTGATTTACAACTGGCTACTTTATCAAATTCTCACCTTGTGTGTAGTCATGTTTCATTCTTTCTTTTCAGCTTTCTAAATATTAATAGTCTCTGGAACTACAAGTATTTTTGCCTCTCCTTCCCACATTGTGCCTTGAATCGCTTTCACTTTTCTAACGTCATTGGCACTGTGATGTGTAAGGGAACTTTTGTCTTGGTTATTTTCTTTCTGATTATCAAGCATCATAAATGGAATTCCCTGGCTGTGTCAAGTTGAAGAGTTGATCAGAGACGCTTTTCTTTTAGGGCATTCGGAGATATGTTCACAGCGCTAGATACATAATAAAGGAAATGAGAATTCATGAGATGTAAGCATCACATGGCAGAGAGGACCTGGTAATGATGTAATTACATAACTAATCAGGGCGACAGATTCAGAGTCTCCCGAATTGTACTTTGGAACTCAGATAATTTAGCGCCCCCTCCAAGGAACCATCAAACTGCTGTTGAGTTATATATTATATTACATTTTTTACTCTAAAAATTATCTTTTTATAATGTATAAATTAGTTCTGAATAGAAATGACTTATTAAAAGTCAGAGAAAACAGGACTAGCATTTCCTATGAGCTGAAACAAATTCTCATTTAAAGTATCACAAGCTTCCATCGAATGATTTAGAGCTGCTTGGGCAAACTGAGGTTGGACATGCTGATGCTTTGGAGTACTTCTTAGTATCTCCTCAGATTGTCCCTGTCAAATTTCTTATGGATGAATGATTGTCAAGCAGTATACATTTATTCCTGAGCAAGAGAAGCCCCTAGCAAATCCACTAAAGGCTTTTTCCTTATGAGTTTACTCTTTAAATTTCAGTTGAAACGCATCTGTTAAGCTCGTATCATATACACAATGCGGTACCACGCCCAACTGCAGCCCTGTGGGCGTGGACGTTCTACTGAATAGCTGATAGAGGCACTAATATTCTTCTGGGTTTGATTCTGAATATAATATTGATCTGCTAATCATTCTGTTGCAAGTTTTCAGTGGAATAAGAAATGAGGAAGTTCGCCATTCTATTAGCAACTCAAGAATCTAGAACATATCATTCAAACCAATGGCCTTTAAAAAGCTCACAGGCAAATGGAGGAATTTGCTAACTACCCTGTAAGATGAGATTTGGACTAACCACAAAGAAAATCATTTTATCCTTCTAAATGGTTCCTGGGTATATTGCGCCCAATAATTAAGCAAACCTGCTAAACGTGCGTGACAAACCTGCCAAGCAAACTAAAGGTCTATCTTTAAAAATATTTATTGTTTCTGTAATCAAGGTCTAAAAGTTGGTCTTGAGCTTCTACCCATAAGCACCTAAAACTAGCTCTTAGTATTTAACAGAGACTTGTTCTTTAGAGTTGAAAAATCTAAAATCTAAAATGCCATTCTTTGTTAATAAAAATCTCAGGCCATGAATATATTCTAAAATATATAATTAAAATATTTAACAGCAAGAAAGAATGATAAGGGGTATACGTAATTATAGTAAATGAGGAAGTTTTAATCAGGAGATAACATAAATGTTTTGCACATTTCAGCTGCTGGCACAGACTTGATAAGATACTGAGTCTGGGTCTGGAGCAGGAGGTTGGGAGCCCAGCCCTCGCAGACACGCTCCCACTTGTGATTTCTGCCTGTCACTTAACCGGGAGATGCAGAAACCGTGAGTCTCACTAGAGACCCGAGCCTGCATGTTTTCTAAGGCAAAAATGGAAGGAATCAGTAAGACTGCCAGACAACATTCAAATACTTGCACTGAGAAATCCGTCACCAGAAGCAGCCTGCAGACCTATGCTTCTCGTTGGACATCCTGCTGGTGACTCTTTCAACTGCCCTCTTCCTATATTCATCACTATTTTTCTTAACAATAAGCAATAAATAAATAGAACCACAAAGTCCTCCCTTTTCCATTAATCCGTGGACACAGCATCATGAAGGGAGAAGAAAGCTCCGGTCTCATTGTTCTTATTTTAGGCGAGATTTCCTGTAAAGTTTTGTAGAGAAATGATTCACGATGATTCACCCTAGATTAAGTGAGTCGGCATGATTAAGATCTACTCAGAGGACCCTGAACCACTTTTTTAGAGGAAAAAAGGCCAAATCTGAAAAGGTTTTCAGGTGTTCCCATTGACAGCAGCGAAGGTAGCTACCCACCATTTCTTACATGTGTACAGTGAGCTGGAAAATGACACCAGAACCTCTATAACAGTCATCTTGTTCACTCTCACAGCTCCATAGGTCTATCACCATCTTGATTTTACAGATAAGGAACCAAAGCTCATTACAGATTCTTCATCTTGGCCAGGACAGCTCTGCTAGTACAAGTCGCAGAACTGGGTTTCAACCTCATTGTATTTAATCCCTTACCCAGTGCCAGTAACCACTCTAAACACTGCATACTTGAAATTCTTCGTGTAATTTAATGCAGCATGGTTTTCTCTCCTCCCACCTGTACCATCTTACAGGTTTAGTTTTCCTTCTCTGCTAAAGCAACTTTTATTTCTACCCTTAACACTTAATTTTTAGATATACTTAATTCGATTAAACTATTCGTACTATATTATTAAGATACCTAAAGAATTTAGTGCTTTTACAAGTGCCCTAAATTGTAAATAGATTAAAAATAATCAACACCTCTGTAAAGTACTTTTATGAGTTGGCCATAGTCATATGTACGCATGTCACGTAAAGTTGAAACTACAAATAAGAACATTTAGCATGAGAAAGTATTTCCATCCTGTTTTTTGGCTGGAGTTTCTAAAGACCTTCAAACTGATTTCAAATAGACACCCTCCGAGTCTCTGACCCTGCTGAAATGGCATTTCCATAAGCACAACTCTGGTTTCATCTAACGCCATCTTTTAAAACAAGTGCCTCTGTTTAAAAAAAAAAAAAGGATTATGCCAGTTTACAAGACCACATAAAAATAATGACTATGTCAACAAACCAGGAACATTAATTTAAAACAGGACTGCAGAGTCCTTATTTCCTTATTTTAATTACATATTCCCAAGAAACAGTGCAAATAGCCTTTACTGAATTAAAGAGAGATAACTTATTAGTTGAAAAAACCATTCAAGTTAACAAAATTTCAAAAGAAACCCACTTACTTGTTCAAATTCATTCTTTTGAAATTCTTCAAAACCAAAGATGTCCAATATTCCAATATCCCATGTCTGCGAGCTGAAATGAAAGAGGACACAGTGAACAGGCATCCTTAACGCTTCCCACTGCTACTTTAGGTTGGAGAAATCCAGCCACATAGCGTGTCACTGGCAACTTGAAGTAAAAACACAAATGATTATCTTAATCTGGTGGAAAACTGAAAATTAGGAAGAAAAAGTGTTCTTTTAATGCTTTGATTCAAACACAAACTCATTAACAAAAATGCACTGATTTCTAAGTATAAAATGTAATGATATATGGGTAGTTTAATATTTACTTCTCTGAAAGCCTCTCTGTCTGTCTCCTTCAAATAGACCTGCTTTCTCTGAGGGAATTTGGACCGACCTGTTAAGTGGGTCTCACCAGCAGTAAATCAAGCCATTTCTCCATTACACATAAGTACAATACAAGTCAAGTTACAATTAAGCCATGTGCATGTTTTTTGATAGATCAGTTTGAGCCACTCCAAAAATTATGACTTTCCTAAAGGAGGCCCTAAAAATAAAGAACAATGAAGATCATGAAACTCGGGTGTGAAATGGAAAGAAATCTATCTAAGTAACGACTTCTCTCTTCCATGTAAACTATCGCTCTTGGAATTTGCTACAGTCTTGGATGGTCAAATCACAGATGTCGGAACACACACAGTAGGTGAGGAAAGGAGGAATGAAACCTCATGTGACCCGGGAACCCTGACAACCTGGATTCTGTGGGGATACGGGAGCGGCACGGGGGTGTGTGCACGAGGTGCTTGTTGCAAAGAAAGCCCCAGATGATTCTGGAACGCTGGTCACCCCACCCCTCCCATGTCTCTGGTCTAGCGCGTCATCAGGAGGACTGCTGTCTGCATTTTCTGCCAGCGGAAGCGACAATTCCTCATCACGATGGTGCTTGTTGTTTCATTACCAGTCTCCCTGCTGGTGCAGATGTTTTGCTGTTGTTTTCACTCAATTTGATGTACCCAAACTGCAGACCCCCTTGGCCACCAACTCCCTTTTTGTACCTATATGGTGTTTTCACAAGCAGGATGTAATCACAGTACATTAGGGGCTATAATTTGTCACTTACATGGCCACTTTTTTCTCTAGAAAAAGGCAAGCTAATGATTCTGTGATATCCTTTCTCTAAGATTATTTGTTGTAGATGGTACAAAATATGAACGTCATAAGTAGGAAAGAGCATTTTAAAAGCCCTTGATATAAACGTCACATGGCAAAGAGTGTAAGTCAGTGAGGGGAGGAAAGAAGCATTCATTGGATGTCTCTAGGTAATCGATTCAGTATTTTAGAAGAAGAAAATAAAGGTAGCTTTGTATCTCACCCTGTGTGCCAAATAAACTCTACATGGATTAGAGAGCCAAATGTTAGAACCAGAAACTGTAAACACGTACAGGAAAACAAATGTGATCATTTTTTTTCTGCTTTCAGTTCTGGGAAACGTCAAAAGAAAATATTCAAAAACATGATTATGCAAAGACGAAATTCTTTTGCAGGATAAACTGTAAAAATAAAATTAAGTTCTGTTAGAGATAAGTATTATTTAAAAACGCATCGTCTCCTTCATTTTCATAGATTTTTCTCAATCTACTAGACTATGTGTCCAGTCATACATCATCTTCCACCCATCCACGCCTCTCCCCATCCCACCATCTTTATAATGTGCACAAAAAGACATCGGGAATGATGTTCACTCGGTGGGAACCATGGTGCTGAGGGTTAGGCTGATTTGTTGCTCTGTTGTGTGTGTGTGTGTGTGTGTGTGTGTGTGTGTGTGTGTGTGTTTTCCATGTAATGTAATGTGTTTTCCATTCCATGTAATGAGCTGCATCGTTTCACTTGTAGGAGCCTAGTGATGAAGCCTGTCAAGTTCTGGAGTTGTTCCGTCTTGGTAGGAATCCTGATTGAAACACTTTTTAGTTGGATAACTTTGGGCAAGTTACTTAAATTTTCTGAGCTGCAGTTTCGTCATTTATAAAACTGAGATAACAAGTCACATGTATCCACCTAGATATTCGCTACAATTAGAAGTAATGTAAAGAAAGTTCTAGGATAATAGCTGGTACACAGTGTGTCTCCAATCACTGAAAGTTGCTTTTAAAAATAGTTGTTTAAACTTGCTATAGAAATACAGAGGGTGGCTAAGAGTAGAAATATAAATGGCTAATAGGCATATTAAAATGTCAATCTCATGAAAATTGCAAAAGAAATAAATTTTTAGAAATTATGATGGGAAAGACATCCCCATACACTTTTGTTGGCAGTTGAAATTGGTAGAGCCTTCTTAAAAAACAACATGCTTATGGGGCACAAAGCTTTGAAATATTCATATCATTTGCACCAGGACTTCCATAAGCAGGAACCGATACTAAGGCAATTATCAGAAATGCAATTAAAGACATGAATAACGATGTTCATTGTTATCTTAATTATAGTAAAACAACAAAAAGAAATAACAAATACCCTACACTAAAGACACAATTAATTAAACAGCATCCATCCTAGGACGGATTAATTTAGAGAAACTGTCAAGTTAATAGAAATCAATTTATAAATTCTGTATAAATAACCCCAATTACACATCCAGAAGACTTAGACAGAAGTGCAGTCAGCCCGAGAAGAGGACCTGGAAATGTCTCGAATGGTAGACCTAGCGGTGATTTATTAATTTTTAAAATGTTCTGTAGTGGGTATTATAGCACTCTCCATCTTTAGCCTTTATTTAAAACATACATGACTAAACACACGTTGGGCATTTTCTGAGTTGGTGGAGGAAGGACAACCCTAAGCTTCAGGGCAGAAAGAGGAAAGTGGAGCCCCGCTGACACGGTAGAGACAAGTGTCTGGTTTTCCAGGGACGGGAGGTGCAGCAGGGACCCGAGGAGTCCAGAGGGAGCAGAGGGGCTTCCTGAAGGCCACGTGCTGGTCCAAAGCATGAATGCTCCTGCCAGCGTGTACCAGGACCTCCCTCTCAGGCCCTCAGACCCAGTTCCCCTGCCTGGTTCCCAGCTGCCTTGGCAGCAGGGGTCCTGTAGTGACAGCCCACAACACTGACAGAGGTCAGGGGTAAGGAGAAGAGCTATGGGTGGCAGGATCTCATGACATATGTCCTTCCCTTTCTCATGAGGATTGTGGCTTCGTGTGGACCAGCAGAGGATGCTGAGGCTAGCCAGCTGTGCGTGGGTGAGTAAAATGTTGAAAGATTCTGGTTTAGGTTGGGGACAGTAAATTAATTACTAATTTAGAGTAGCATATATTTGGTTGAAAGAACACTCCTTTTAAATGATTTTTTCACATTTCATACACACTGGATTCCAAACTATATTTGGTTACAAAATAAAAATTTAAAAAGGAAAAGATGGGAAGAAAGGAAAAACCATTGTCAGGAAAACATTTAATGCAGGTTTAATGCATTTTAACGATTATTTTTGCAACTACTGACAGATATAAGGTGTTCATTTTTTTCAAAAATCTATTTCATCTTTTATGATTGAGTGAAATATGTGACTGTTATGGCAATAGCAGCCTTGGCAGGAGGGTTCTAAGAACATGTAGCCAGCAAAATGCCCATTCTGTCATTTCTCTTACTGCTATCTTGACTCATACTACACAGGCATTTAACTCAACATCCAATTTCTAGGACGGAGGAGCAGACAGAGGTCATCAGATGAACCGGGATTCAATCCATTAGGCAAAATTAACATATTAATAAGATGATCTGTTTTAGTTCAAATTCTGCCTTAGAATTCTCCTGAGGGCTTTCCTGATGGTTAACAAAACTCTAACCCACATTAACTCATTAGTAAAATACACCACCTTCTATATCAGACAAAATGTTAAATGCCAAGGCATCTGTCTCATTTTGATTTGCCTTCCAGGTTTGTGGGTATGAGAAAGGGGAAAGTCTGAATCAAAGAGACTGTCCACTTTGGAACATGGATGAACTCATTTTATTTGGGCAGAGAGGTCCGGGGATTTGTACACATCAGGTTTTGTCCTCGATCGTCCCCAGGCAAGGAGATGAACTAAGTAACTAAAAGTCAGTCTAGGGAAGAGCTGAATCCTGTTTGGCACAAAACCCTCAGATGGAGCCAGAGCTGAATCAGCCTCTTTGGCTGATCACTGACGGGTCAGACTCCAGATGGGGTAAGAGTGAAATATAAAAGCATTCCAGACTTGAGCAATCTGGCTGTCCAGACACACTGCCCTGGGGACCAGATGGCCTTGCGCAGAGGTTAGTGGTGCAACGTCCCTGGAGGAGTTGGGCTATGCTATGGCGTTTGCAAGCTCTACTACCAATACGCTGGAGAATTTGGTTAAAATAAGCTTTGTTTGTAATCGGCAAAGCGCACGGTGGCTACCTCTGCCCACATAGCTTATCTGACTCTGCAAGGGTCTTCTCTAGTCTTAGAGGAACTTGGGATGGAGACGTGGCTCCAGGATTGCGTATTTTCAGAAGTTCCTGCCTTTTATTCTTCAACGGAAGAAAGTACCTGAGACTTACCATTTTCTGAAAACACCTCAGAAATTAGGGAAGAAGTCTGCAGTTGCTGACAAGTTTCATTAGAAGCTGGGTGACAGGTGGGGCTAGTGGTTACCAAAGCAGCCCTCTGCGTCCAACTGTCCTACGGCTTCATGCATACCAACGTTGTTCTTAAACCCGTCCTCCTTTGTATTTTTCCCCCCACTGGAAATACAAGTTAGGAAGTTAAAAACTGGAGAGCCCTTGAAGTGAAAACTGTAGCTAATTAGCCTGGATGTGCACAGAAATCCTGGCATGAGGGTGAAAACCAGAGCTAATGTTTTATTGATGCAGTATCATATAAAGCCACTTCCAATTGCTGGTCTTATAAACAAAGCTAGTTCTGACCTACAGAGAAACCAGGAAGGGAGCCCTTTCTAGGGGTAGTAAGAGCACAAATAATAAAAAAATCACTTAAACCCTTCCAATCAGTGAAAGCTACAACTCACAGCTGAAAAGCACCAATACTTAGTACTTTTAATAAACCTATGTCCTCATTCACTACGAGCTGCTTTTAAAACAGTGATATATACATATACATACACACACACACGTGTGTGTATTGTTAACAAAAGCATCATTAGAAACAAGAATAACCTACCACGTACTTTACTTCTTTCAAACCACAAATGATATTTAGTTTATATGAACTCTTACCTTCCTAGTCTGAAATAACCCTCATTTGAGAATAATGCAGACCATTTAACTAATTTATGACATCATTGCTCCTCCTAAGTATTCTGCGGTTATTAAAAGCAATAGTTATGAAGATTAGATAGAAATATGGATAAATAGTTACCACAGTGAAAAAATCCAGATGCAAAACCGTATGTACGGGATGTGGAGCAACTGGAACCCTCACATGATGCTGGTCACAGCTTAGATCTGAAATTTGGAACATGGTTTGACCTCGTCTGCTAAAGCTTAATGCACATCTTCTGAATGACCCAGAAATCCCACTCCGGGCGGGTATCCGGGGTAATGAGTGCCTGTCCCCTAGAAGTCATGCATGGGAACATACATGGCTTCTTATCTACAGAGCCCAAAACTAGAGACAACCAAAGTGTCCATCAGTAATTGAATACGGAACTAACTAGTGGTATGTCCATGCACGTTTTTACAAAAGAACACTACTTGGAAGTAGAATAAGGATGGGTTACGGCTGCACTCAACGTTGTAGATGCATTTCACATAAGGAACATTCAGCAAAGGAAGCCAGACGTAAACCAGTGGGCAGAGGAAGAGTCCACATCTAGCTCTGTGGGGGGTGGGGGTGATATGCCAGGTTGCATGTGTAACATCCGCTGAACTCTACAGAATATGTGCACTTCAGCCTTGTTAACCCTCAATAAAACAGTAAGAAAATGGTACGCTCGCTAGGATCACAACATGCACAGGGACAGAGAGACCTGGGGTTGAATATTTGTTAACTCAGAAGCACTCAAATGCACGCTTGCTTTGGTACTGCCCCGTCCGCCATGATGTTGGAATAGTGACCCTTCCTATGGTTGGCCTTGGCTCCCACAAGCGGCTCAAGCTTCATTTATTAATATAAAGACACGAGTAGGCAAGAAAATTACAAGCAAGATGTCTGAGTGACCCTGAGGTTGAGATGGAAATACATTCTTCTAGCAGTTGAATATAATCACAGCAGCGTTTATGCCGCTATCGTTTCCATTTGTGTCTGAGATTTGTATCTAACGTCCTCCCATGTCTGCTGACTCTTCGAAAGCAGAGTTGTATTTCTTGGGGATGCCTTCAGACTAGTGCCCTTAGTCCCTCCAACAAAAATAAAGAGAAGTAAGTTCTTGTGTTCAACCAACTCTCTGGATAAGTGAGTCAGAGAGAAGCTAGAGGGAGGTTCCGTGTTACTGATGTATGTAGGTGTAAGGAGGGGCAATGGAGCTCCTTCAGGGACACACCAACCAAAGAAGCACACCATGCCTGAAAGGTTTTCAAAGAAGAAAAACAGAGCAACGACGTGAAATCAACTCAGCTGTAGGTTACTTGTCATTATCCTTGCTGTTTCAAAGTCAGGGACCAACCATATTCCATATGCCAAACAATAACAAGCGGTGCTACCTCCATATGCCTCCAATCTAGGACCCTGTATCATCGCTTTTGAACGACCTTTTGTAAACTGTCAACTGTCAAAATAAAAACCTATACGAAGATGCGGGAATTCTGTAGCTTATGTGTCTTTCCCAGGAAATGTATATTTCAGTCTCATATCAAGCAGATATGTCTCCTTTCCTTTTGGTCTGTGTCAGTTGGTAGATGACTGCGAGACGAAATACAATAGCAGGATTCAGAAGTCAGATCAGGTTGACCCCGGGTGTTTGGGAGATCCACGCCACCTGACCCAAAGGAGGCATCAGGTAGAGGACAGGCTTGAAAGAAGAGTGAACTCTGAAGGTGTATCTGAAGGTCACGTTTTGGCTTTAGACAAGCCCGAGGTTCACAGGGGAGATTGTGAGTCAAGGTATGTGGCCAAGGTCAGGCAGGGGATGCTCTGGATAGACGCAGGGAAACTCAAAAGGTATAAAACCCAATTGGGTGGGTCTGGTTTGGAAGGCAGAGTAAAGGCAGGATTCCATAGGGGTGGGTAATCCAGGTAAGTTGGGTGGGAGTAGTTTTCAGAATGCCATCAACGTACTTCATCTGCAGTTTCTGTGATCTTTCGAAAAGGGATGATTACCAATTATGGGGAGGGGAGTGCCCCCTACGTGAATGCCCTACATGAACGGGTGGGCAAGTGCTAGCAGGCACACGCTGTTCTGCAGAGAAAGCCAGCCATGCGTTGCCACAAATACTTGTGGATGAGGCCTGCAACACAGGCAAAAGTCTTGACCCTCCCTGGAGTTCCTGACCACCTCTGGAGCTTGGTCTTGTTAGGCTAGAGCCACTGGAAGAGCTGAACTAATCCAGGCATGGTTATGAGAATTTGCAGGTGTGATCTGATCTGCAGCCTTTAAATTTCACCTATTAACAGTGGTACTACCAGTTCTACTAAGACTCAAGGATCCATTGAATCTGACGCATTTTAGCATAACCTGTGTTGGAGGGGGCTGACTCAGCGTTCACCCCCTGGCATAAAGCAGTGAGCCACCAGGTATCTGGATGTGACTGACATCTTCCAAAATACCCTGACCAGGAATCACAGACTCACAGGTCCTAAAAGCAAAACCAAGCCAGAGAGATGAGCCAAGGCTCCATTTGTAGGTAAATGAAATGCGATTATCAGAGACTGAGAAAATTAATATTCACGAGACATAAAGGTCTTACTAACAATTTCATTAATGTTGTGTCAGGCGCAGAATAGAAATCCAGATCTCTTGATTTCTATCACCCTTTTAAAAAACGAAAACACAGCTAAAAGGTAAATCTGCTCTATTCATAAATTAACTACCATGTACTTGAACATACATACACATACACAAAACATGAGATCTACATAACATTTCAACCCACTAGTTGTAAACTGCAGTAAAAAGTGCTGTTTCATTTTTCACTGATCACGCTTTTCTTTTTTTTCGCCAGCTTCACTAAGATTTAATTACATACAATATTGTGTCAGTTTAAGGTATACACCCTGCTGATTTGCTACACAACTGCAAAACGATCATGCTTTTCTTAATAGGGTTCCTTTTCTCCCTTCATA